TCTTTCCTCAGAGCAATGAAAGTGGCGGTTCTGTTTGAGAAAGGAAAAGAGGAAAAGCCAGGTATGAACTCAGTGTTTGAGAAACTGGTCATGTTTCTGTATCTGCTGAATTTGCTCCAATAATATTTACTCTTTTGTGATTTTTTTCTTTTCAAAGAAATGTATGAGTTAGGCAATTTCAAATCAATGTGTTCCCCTAACCTAGGGCTTTTCCATGAACTACAGACCCATCTTATTTATCCGCTTCCTAGTTTCTTCACTTAGATACCAGCCACCTCAGACTCAGCCTGTCTCCCACCCAAAACCTAACATTTCCCTAAATCTGACCCTCTGAGAACATTTCTTCCCTCTTTCCAGAAAGTCCAACTACATGACACACAGCCTTCCCCGTTATATAAGGGTGCCCTGATCAGGATGGTGTTCACTGCAGAGGTGGTTTGAACAGGAATGTAAAAATGCTCACACTCTGTGTATAACACTATTTAGCCAAGTCGGAGGGAAACCTGCCCAAAACTTCACTTGAAAAAAATTTTTTTAATTAATTATTTTCATTGGATGTGAATTACTTTACAATATTGTAGTGGTTTTTGCTATACATTGACATGAATCAGCCATGGGTGTACATGTGTTCCCTATCCTGAACCGTGCTCCCACCTCCCTCCCCATCCCATCCCTCTGGGTCATCCCAGCGCACCAGCCCTGAGCACTTGTCTCATGCATCGAACCTGGACTGGTGATCTGTTTCACCCTTGATAATATACATGTTTCAGTGCTATTCTCTCAAATCATCCCACCCTCGCCTTCTCCCACAGAGTCCAAAAGTCTATTCTTTACATCTGTGTCTCTTTAGCTGTCTTGCATATAGGGTCATCGTTAGCATCTTTCTAAATTCCATATATATGCGTTAGTATACTGTATTGGTGTTTTTCTTTCTGGCTTACTTCACTCTGTATAATAGGCTCCAGTTTCATCCACCTCATTAGAACTGATTCAAATGCATTCTTTTTAATAGCCGAGTAATAGTCCATTGTGTATATGTACCACAGCTTTCTTATCCATTCGTCTGCCCACGGACATCTAGGTTGCTTCCATGTCCCAGCTATTGTAAACAGTGCTGCGATGAACACTGGGGTACACGTGTCTCTTTGAATTCTGGTTTCCTTGGTGTGTACGCCCAGCAGTGGGATTGCTGGGTCATATGGCAGTTCTATTTCCAGTTTCTTAGGAATCTCCACACTGTTCTCCATAGTGGCTGTACTAGTTTGCATTCCCACCAACAGTGTAAGAAGGTTCCTTTTTCTCTGCACCCTCTCCAGCATTTATTGTTTGTAGAATTTTGGATAGCAGCCATTCTGATTGGCATGAGATGTTACCTCATTGTGGTTTTGATTTGCATTTCTCTGGTAATGAGTGATGTTGAGCATCTTTTCATGTGTCTTCTTTGAGAAATGTCTGTTTAGTTCTGTGGCCCATTTTTTGATTGGGTCGCTTATTTTTCTGGAATTGAGCTGCAGGAGTTGCTTGTATATTTTTGAGATTAATCCTTTGTCTGTTGCTTCGTTTGCTATTATTTTCTCCCAATCTGAGGGCTGTCTTTTCACCTTGCTTATAGTTTCCTTCACTGTGCAAAAGCTTTTAAGTTTAGTTAGGTCCCATTTGTTTATTTTTGCTTTTATTTCCAATATTCTGGGAGGTGGGTCATAGAGGATCCTGCTGTGATTTATGTCAGAGAGTGTTTTGCCTATGTTTTCCTCTAGGAGTTTTATAGTTTCTAGTCTTACATTTAGATCTTTAATCCATTTTTAGTTTATTTTTGTGTATAGTGTTAGAAAGTGTTCTGTTTCCATTCTTTTACAAGTCTTTGACCAGTTTTCCCAGCACCACTTGTAAAGAGATTGTCTTTTCTCCATTGTATATTCTTGCCTCCTTTGTCAAAGATAAGGTGTCCATAAGGGCGTGGATTTATCTCTGGGCTTTCTAGTTTGTTCCATTGGTCTATGTTTCTGTCTTTGTGCCACCAAAACTTCACTTTTTTAAAAACACACATTGTTAATGTGTGAAAGTCATTCATCTGACATCTTAATAGAATTTATTTAAAAACCAGGGCACCCTTTTTCTCATTCCTCTCTGCCCTGTATAATATTTGCCCTTGGGACATTCTCTGGGGCTCGGCTCCCAGTCCACCAGCCACCTTCATGATGACTTGTGACTAAAGAACACACCCTTTCTGGCTGCACCATGCAGCTTGCAGGATCTTAGTGGCCCCACCCTGCCCCCCAACCAGGGACTGAACCTGGGCCCTGGCAGCGGGGGTGCAGAGACCTAAGCGCTGGACCACTAGGGAGCCCTCCCCTTGTCAGGTCATTCTTGATCAGAGTGACTCAAACAACTCCTTTGACTAGTTTTTCCAGGTAAATGGAGACTAGAGAGACAGCTGATTAAATGCAATACATGAGTCTAGATCGGGCCAATGAAGGACATTTATGGGACAACTGCCAAACTTTGGATAAGGTCTGAGGATTAGACTACAATATTGTATCCCTGTTAATTTCCTGATATTGATCATTATATATGATTATACAATGTGATTATGTATGTTTGGTTTTAGGAAACTGCACTGAGGCTGCAGTTTTTTTTCAGATATTTCCAGGAAAAAGCATATGTATGAGTTACATGTGAATGTGTGGGTATATGTATGAACACATGTGGAAGGAGTGAGGATGAATGATGAAGTTAAGTAGGAGAGTATGAATGTTTGGGCAATTTTGAAAGGCAGAGAAGAACTTGTTCTACCATGTTTCCCACCTTTTTCCAAGTCTTAAATAGGAAGTTAAAAAAAGATGATCCAGAAAGGTAGAGCTAACCAGGAGAAGACAAAGATGGACAGGAAAACCTTTGAACACAGAGTCCTGGGTGGCTAAGTCTGGTTAGTTCTAAAGTCCCAATTGCTGGGTTTCTAAGGAGCTTCTATTCTCTTCTTTTAAGTAAGATATCCCCCAAATCTCCTCCCTTGGCTGAACAAACAATATGTCTTTCTCACCAGGCTGAATTCCCTTGGTTACCTGAAATCCCAGGTCAAAGTCTTTTCCCTAAATTCCTCCCACCCCAGAGCTTATGTAGAAGGCTGCATTCCTCTGTGATAATTTACTGGGAGCCACTTTTTATCTACTGGAAGAGCCAAACACTGGTGTGGGCAAATGGGGTATCCTGGGAAGCTCCACCATCCACATTATCCAGTGGAGACCATCTGCTCCTATGTGGGAGGTGGGCGAGTGGAGGGAAGAAGTGGGAGAGGCCCTTCTGCTGCACAGACACTGTCTGTGGTCTTCATTCATCGTTCTCTCTGGTTGAGAACAGGGCATGTGACACAAAATGTGCCAGCAGGCAGAACTAGAACTCCTGGTTTAGGGGCTGTCACTGTGTTCTGTTTTGGCAGACAAGAAATATTTATTAGGCATGTATTGCAATAATGCGGCTAGTTCTGCTTACATTAGGGTGATACTTTATAAATTAGGTTCCCATGAAAATCACTGGCTCCTCTTACAAATAACGATGCTGAGGCAGGGAACCTACTAGGTTCCTTAAATCCCACTGAACTAGTTAGAGGTCAGGGTCTTGATTTTCAGTCCAGGTTCTTTCTGCTCACCCATCCTGCACAGACCTTGTTTGAGACTCTACAAAGGGGATCCTTTACCTGCCTGAGGATACCACAGTCTGGGAGAAGATTATATTCACTCTTGATGGATGGAGGGGAAAGCCATGTTGATTTAATCATGGTTCTGGGTTTTTCCGAGTCAAGTGAATCTATAAGTTCTTCCTTTCCTCTAGCCTTCTGTTGGGCTTCCTGATAAAAAATGCAAGAAAAGAGTGACTTTTCAAGGGGTGTAGTATATACTTAAAGAGACCACAGCTGCCAAAGGATGTTTTGCTGACTCCCAGCTGCCAGTGAATTGCCCGCTCTGCATGATGTAATTGCCCTGAAATCCAGTGAAGAGGGCGGGCTCCTGTCTCCCACAGCAGGACTCTCGTTTGCTGCAACTTGCAGCCAAGGATGGGGTGCTGAGTCTCTCAGGCCAAAGCAGGGATGTGCTGTGGATGCAGGTCAATCTTATCACTTTAATTTACTAAGGTATGGAAAAATTTTAGGCCTCTTGCTTGCTTTCTGTTGATCAGATGGTACCCAGAGCCCTGGGTACACAGTGAGTGTAGTAAGTGATAACTGCTGTAGTAACAGTAATCACAGCAATAATGATATTAACACTCACTGTAATAATAAAGTAGGAGTATTAGAGGGGTCAGGGGCACAGTAAGTGTGGTCCACCCCGTAGGAAAGAGTTTTGTTAGTGATGCATGATAATAAGAAGCATGAGAACTCTGTACTTTCCTCTCAGTTTTGCTGTGAACTTAAAACTACTCTAAAAAATAAGGTCAATTAAAACATATTTAAAAAATGAAGGAGAGAGAAAGCAGACTCATGATTAACGGCTGGGATGTGACTTTTGAATTCTCTGAAGATGACGACACTGCTTCTTTCCTGTACTGGGGTGGACCCGCTTACCCTGCCCTTGGTATGCCACTAACAATACTGTTGTTTTTAAATTGTTCTATGGGCTGAGCAAGTATTCAGACGAGTTGCATACTAATGAGGGAGTAATGTTGGTCAGTACAATGATGATCAATCATTCCAGTGTTGCTCCACACACAATTGGGTGCTGAACACTGGTGACGCTGACCCCCAGGTACTGCTGGGACCAAAGGCCGCAGTTCTGGGGCTCTCTGGGGCTCTCTCCACTGAGCTAAGCAGTCACGTCATCTCTACCCAGTGGGGCTGCAACTGAGTGACTTGGCTGGGAGGAGCTCTTCTGGAGGGCACCCACCACACCCTGCATCTAGGGGACATCTTCCCTGATCCACAGACAAGGGCAAGTCTTATCCCTGCGTCACCAACATGATGGCTTCCTTGCCTTTGCCTGATGAAAGGGTCTTCCCCCTCTGAGCAGGAGAATGCCCAGCTGATCAGAGGGGTGGAAGTAGACAAGGTGTCCACGCTCTCCGCGGACCAGGTGGAGGCCATCAAGCAGCTGTGGCGGGATCCTGGAATCCAGGAGTGCTATGATCGGAGGCGGGAGTACCAGCTGTCAGACTCTGCCAAGTAGTGAGTACAGAGCCCCGGGCTGTGGCCACACTTCCAAGGAGCTTCTTACCAGGGAGAAATGAGCTTCCTGCTAAAATGCAGGCACTCAGCGCAACACAGCCTCCCTCTCCGTTTTGATGCCTCACTTCCCACCTCCTAAACTGAGTCCCCCTAAGGAGCCCCCCAGATAGCTCTCCTTGCCCATACCTTCCTTTTCACTGAGAGGCTAAATCAATTGTGGGCTTTCCTTGGTAAGACCGATCTCAGTTGGGGTGCTGAAGTTAGATGATTTAAACCAGGGCTACACCTGCTTCTGGTTTCTCCGTTCCCCCCTCTCCATATCCCTCTGCCTTCTGGTTTCCTGACCAGCAAAGAGCAGGTCTAATTGCCCTAAAGTCAAGAGTTCAGACCCAACAGCGCGGTACACCCTTCACTGGCTGATCTGGTGCTGCCCTCAAGTGGACAAGATGGTCACGAAGAAAGCTCAGTTTGGGAGCTCTTTGTTCATTAACTCCTTGTGAAGCAGTAATCAGTAATCTATTAGGGTAAAAAGAAATAAATAGTTCTGCATGCAAACTATCCCACCGAGATCACAGAATTTGATTTTAACAATTCCCCAAGACAATGCCTCTGCCCAGATCACCAGGCAAATAGCTGGATCATGGTCCTTCTTTGAAGGGGTGAGGATTCCTGCTTTTGCAGCTCAGCTCCTCCCCTCTTACTCTGGGTCATCCCTACCCTCTGAGGGCCCTGGAATTCCTTCCCTAGACCCACCCCCTTCCCTTGAGGTGCTGCCATCACCCTCCGAAGCGGTGTGGATAACTCACCCATCCTGACAAGCCAGGGGCAGGAGAGGAACCAGAATCTCACCTCCTTAGTCTCACTGGCCTTGCTCTGGTGGCTGTCCCAGGCTGAGCGCTGAGTGACGTGAGCTGAGGTTAGTGCAGCTCGGCAGCAAAGCAGGAACAGGGGTGAAAAGAAACCCCAGGAAGTCGTTAGATCAGCACAAAGACAGCAGGGCAGAGTCCCCGCCTCTGACAGCTGGGGGCCAGGGCATCCCTGAGTCCTCCTGGTCCAGCCTGTGTCACTGGCTTCTGGGAAGGCCCTGCGGAATGGCTAGGGCTCTTGATACAGATCAGCTTGAAAAAGACCCACTAGGCCTGCTGCAGAATTCAGTCGGGCCTGGCAACTGGGGCAAGTGCACGGAGAAGAGTGTGGAGAGTGACTAGAGGGGCGGACAGGGCTGTGCAGAGAAAAGGGGACTCATAAACCGGGAACAGGTGAGACCCGAGGCTTCCGTGGTCCGGTCAGGGGCGATCATCTGTCTGCTGCCACCGTCTGCCTCTTTGGAGAGGTTTTCACTTCACAAAAATGTGATGCGTGTCTGCTCTGTGCCAGGCACTGAGGAAAGGGCCACAGGGACAGTTGGTACTTTCTGCCCTGAAGGCGCACACACTCTGGTGGGATGACACAGAGATTCGCTCAGTCGTGTCCGAGTCTTTGCAACCTCACAGACGGCAGCCCAGCAGGCTCCTCTGTCCATGGGACTCTCCAGGCAAGAACACTGGAGTGGGTTGCCATTGCCTCCTCCAGGGGATCTTCCCGACCCAGGGATTGAACCTGGGTCTCCCGCATTGCAGGCAGATTTGTTTACCATCTGAGCCACCAAGGAAGCTGACAGGCATAAATTAAAGCACCAGAAGTCCACGGCGATAAGCCCCGGGGCTGTGTATGGCGGTGTGCCCTGGTGGTTCACCTGTTCAGCCCCGGCACACCTAGGGGAGCTCTGCCTATGGGGGGCCACCTCCGTGTGCAGGGGGCTCCAAGTTGTCAGCACTGCCACTGGCCAGGGCCTCAGTTATTTACTCAAAAGTGCCTTTTTCAAAGGCCTTAACATTAAAAAAGAAGCGTGTTCTTGTTTTAACACAGAAAAAGACTTGTTTTAAGCCTGGGCTGTAATATATGGCCCAAAATAATCCAAGCCAAGTTTTGGGTTATTTGAGGAGATGTGCAATTTCCCAATGTAACAAGGAACTTTTTGAGAGGACTTCCCATTGGCCTGATTTATGCTTTTATATTTTCCTTAACTCTAATTCACTGAGCAAAGTAAAGTGTCCAAGCACAGCATCTACATTCTACAGTGTTCTTGGAGGAGGGCCTGTGAGAGGAGAACAGATGAAATGTCAGGGAGCCAGGCGCTGTCTGTGGCCCCTGTGGCCTGGCCGGCTCCCTCCCCAGCAGAGCGATGGAGCTGGGAGCCGGGAGGAGAGACAGAGCCACAGGCCTGAGTCTCAGCAGGATCACCAAAGCCTCTGATCCACACTCTCTCCACAGTTTTAGGAGGGCTGGAAGGCTGCTTCTCAGGAAAGTCACTGATGAGTCCATGAACATGAGTGGGCGTGGCTGGGAGTTGGGGTGACTTTCTGGGTGGGGCACCTCCCCCTTCTCAGCATCTTGGTCTCTAACATCAGCTACCTGACGGACATTGACCGGATCGCCATGCCAACATTCGTGCCAACACAGCAGGATGTGCTTCGTGTCCGAGTGCCCACCACTGGCATCATTGAGTATCCCTTTGACCTGGAAAACATCATCTTTCGGTAAGTCTGTCTCCTTGACATGGTCCATTAAGAATCTGTCTCTCCAGGCTTGGAAGTCCCCAAATGGGTTCTTCGATGTGTTATTGCTAAAAGGGCTTATATCTCTTAGGGCAATAATGGCCTTCGCCATCACAGGGTATTAGAATTGTGGTTGGTCTCAAGTTGTACAGTGAATACAAACACACCTTTCTATTCCCCTTAGAGAAGAAGCGATCCCCTACTGATGTCTGGAATGCTTCTCGTGTGTAGCACACACACACAGAGATGTATATTTCTGTAACCCACAGATTGGCAATACTGGGGTCTTTTCCCTGAAGTCAAATATTTCTCTTCCTTTCTATTCTCAGCTCCAAGATTTATCATTGCAAATTTCAAAGCACTTGTATATCCGTTCGTTCCCCTAATACTCGTTACACATGGTTGTCTGGAGACAGCACAAGTGCAGTCCTCCCCTACACCTCGGTGCTGCTGGGGTGCTGTCACGTCAGGGGAGCCCTCTGGTCCAGCCCCCCGATACACGGCATCTCTGTGAGCACATGCCCTGTGTGCCCACGAATTTATTTGAAACTTTTCAGAATCAATCTCTGCTTAACCCTTCCAAAACCTCCCTCTAGATGGGCCCAGCACAGCATGCCTTAAGTGTATCCTTTGCTACCTGAGAGAGGTCCCCGGACTCATTTCTGTAAACTGCCTGAGCCCCGGAACACTCGAGCCTGTGACTGACCCTTGGGCTATGACACCCTGAAGTTGCCCAAAGACACAGGCGAAGGCTTTGGGTCTCCACATCAGACAGAGGGCACTTAGAGGTTTTCTAGGGAAGGGGGAGCGTGCAGCTAATGACAAAGAAGCTCCGGATTAGCCCAGAAGCCTGCCCGTCTGCCCTTTTGTGTCTGGACCCCGGCACTCTGGGAAGGTTTGGGCACCACCCAAGTGATGCCTGGACTACCGCAGCAGCCCCCTAACCAGTATCCTCAAGCAAGCTCCATCTGAGTGACCTCCGCGTGCATCTTCAGCACCTTCACTTACCTTCTGTTGCCCACTTTGCTAGGAAACATCATATGGTTCCTCATTGCCTAAAGCAGAGGTGCTCAAGCATTTTAATCTGAGGATCCCTTTTTATTCTTAACAATTATTGAGGACCCTAAAGAGTGCTGATTTCCATGTGCTTTCCCCCCAGAGAGTCCTATGTTTATTCTGTTAAACAGGATGGTGGATGTTGGTGGCCAGCGATCTGAAAGACGGAAATGGATTCACTGCTTTGAGAGTGTCACCTCCATTATTTTTTTGGTTGCTCTGAGTGAATATGACCAGGTCCTGGCTGAGTGTGACAATGAGGTATGCTGGGTGGGGAGTCTGGTTAGCTGTGGTAACAGAAACCTATTTCTGCAGTTTGCAAGAAGCCAGCCCACTCTGGCATTAGGCCCTATCCCTTAGGTTAAGTTGCCTCACTTCTGGAAGTGTAGCCTGTGGGCTGGCAGTCCTGGCATCACCTGGGTGCTTGTTAGGAATGCATACCTTCCGAATCACCCCAGGCCAAATAAAGCAGGATCCTCAAGAAGATCCCAGGTAATCTGAGAATCACTGACCTAGAATCCTGACTCTCACACTTGGATGGACACTGAAATTCCCAGAGGACCTTAAAGAACAACTATGTGTGGCCTGACCTTGGACATCTAGTCTTCATGAAGGGTGGAGCCACTCAGAAACATGGGTCTCGGCCTTGGCTGCATAGTGGGAGGTTTTTTGTTTTTTTTTTTTTTTCCTTTAAAAACATCTTTAGGACCCTATTGTTGAGATTCTTATTTCCTGGTTTAGAGTTGGGGGTTACATTCACTAAGTCCCCCGGGGATAAGCATATACAACCAAAGTTGAACAACACTATTTCTAATAGACTTACCTAAGGACAGGCTTCCCAACCTCCATGGTGCTCTCAAATTAGGTCCTGAGCTAAGCTGGCCAGGGAAGTGGTACCCGATGCTTGGAGCTGTGCGGGGGCAGCATCTGACCTTCACTTCCCCTGGAAAGGACTTGCTCAGGGCAGCTGCCACTGATCCACCCCAGTCAGGCATTCGGTGCCCTCTGCAGAGCCGCCATGGCACTGGCTGGTTAAATTCCATTAACTGGATCTGCCAGGAAAGTGAAGAGAACCATTCCGGCCCTTCTTTGTGAGGTTAGGGCTATTTTCTGTGTGATAATCACCATCTTTTCCCCTACCTTTTGCACCAGACCTCTTGACCTTTTAGAGATACCTCTTGCCTGCAGGGAATGAAAGGAAATCAATAAGGAATTCTGTCCAGGATTAGGCAATAATTATGAACAAATTCTATCTTGTATTTTTTGAAAGCAGACTTTTCTCTGAGGAGCACAGTTACATTAGCTAATTAGTGGCGGATTAGCCCATTTGCTAGTGTCATTGTGCAAAGAAGAATAGAAATCTTGGCTGCCACCCAGCTCTCCCAGTGGAGAGAGTCTTTTTTTTTTTTTTTTTTTTTAAAGCAAAGGCATTGAGTTATCAATATGAAAAATTAGCTCCAAATTTGTCTCAGGAATTACTTAGAATGTCTCTCAGGGAAGATTAGTCAGGTGCACCAGGAATGAGTACCTTAGCCTGATATACTTAGAAATTAGTTTCTCCTCTCTGAAAAATCCTAGGTATCTGGGGGAAAATGAAGTGGTTGCCACTCCAGACTTTTCTATCCTGGCTGGAGATATATCTTACCTCCACTCACTATGGTGTATAGGAATGGTTTTTTTCAAATGTTGTACTTCCTTGGAGCTCATTACTGATAACATCATAATTAATGCTAAGGAAGCTTTAAAAACAAGTGAGACCTTACCTTTTTGGGGACAGAGTCTAGAACTGATCCCCAAAACTACTGAGTGGGAGAATGGGCCCAGGCATTGGGAGTCACAGGAGCAGAAATTTAGGTGGTGTCCCTCTATAGCAGGAGGGCCATGTTTCCCAGTCTAAAGGAAGGAAGGAAGGAAAGTGTTTCTTTCTTCTTAGAAATACTTGGGAGAGGGTGGAATGCTAGATTATTGTCACCAGAGAAGATTCATACATGCCCTATCTACTTTCATTTAATATTTTCTTGCCAGTGTCTAATGTTCAGAAATTATTACTGTCTACATAGCTTCCACTGGATTGTGCTGCTGTACAGTCCCGGGAAAGCATCTGCATCTTTGTGAACAGTATGCTCGCCCATAAATGGGGACCCGTTCCCTGGGAGAGCATCAGCTGTTACACGCCTGTCAGACATGGTGCAGGGCAGGTGCTCGGTAGCATCAGCTCTCTTCTCCACCAGCGTCCCTGAGGCCGGTGGCCCTCCCAGAAGAGCCTGCCTTCCTCTCACTGTCACTGGACGCCTACACCCAGTGAAAGGGCATCTCAGCCCCCACCTGGTAATCCCAGTAGTTATACACAGAAAACGTGTGTCAATTCTGGGTTTCAACCTTCCTTTTCCAAGTTACACAAAAGCCTTTCTTACATCCTTATGTGTTTGGGGGCCAGAGAAGAATTTGCGTGAGAGGAGTTCCAGAAGAGGGTGATTAATGGGAGGGTGAGGATGAGGGAAATAGAAGCAGGAACCACCTGCCACTCCCTCCCCAGCCAGAGCAAGGCCAGCGACCTGGAGACGACAGCTGGGTAAGAGGACAAATGGATGGAAGCGGTGATTTGGCATGCTGTTCCCAAAGCACTGTTTTTCTTCCTAGTTTATCCTAAATCTCTTGTTTTTCATTTAGAACCGCATGGAAGAGAGTAAAGCCTTATTTAAAACTATCATCACCTACCCCTGGTTTCTGAACTCATCAGTGATTCTGTTCTTAAACAAGAAGGATCTTTTGGAAGAGAAAATCATGTACTCTCATCTAATTAGCTATTTTCCAGAATACACTGGTAAGTAAGTGTCCATCCTGTGGCCCTGACCTCCCTGGCACCAGTTCAGAGCTCTCAGCATAGCTTATCTAGGCCTCCTTGATCTGCCTCTAACAGACTTTCTTACCATCCCTCACTTCTGAATGGAAGCTCCAGTCAAATCAGCGTGTTTTCACCTCAGCACCTCTGCACACGCCTCTCCTCTTGCCTGGGATGTGCTACCACCTCCCTTGCTAATTCTGCTTTGTTCTCTGAGACCCAAATCAGGCACCTCCTCCTTTGGGAAGGCCTTCTGATCCTCACCCCACCTCCTTCCACAGTAGGTGCACCCCCGCAGGCTCCCCTGGGGGCTTGGGCTTGTGTTGCCCTCTCTGCCTTCAGCTGTTTTGTCCCAGCAGACCCTGAGGGCAGAGACTGTGCCTGACTCATCTCAGCACTTCTAGTGCCGAAATGTGGCAGCCCCTTCACCAGACAGGGTGGACACGGACGTTATCTTTATGACCTCTCCAAGGCAGAAGGAGAGTTTAGACCCTGTCGCTAATTAATTCTGGTGCAGAAACATTACCAAGTTTGATACTGATATTTAGACAAGTGGTGTTTAAATGCTCTCCTTTTTCCTTTTATTAACCACACTGACAATGTAGCAAACAGCTCTCAAGCTTCACAGTCAGACTTGGGAGCTTCGCTCCCCATATTCTCTCTTTTCCCTCCTCTACTTCACTTAAGAACTACCTCTTCAGGGACTTCCCTGGTGGTCCAGTGGCTAAGACTCTGCACTCACAGTGGAGCGGGAACTAGATCCCGCATGCTGCAACTAAGACCTGGTGCAGCAAAATAAATCAGTATATTTTTAAAGAGTAATTACCTCTTCAAAAATGGTCCAAATCAGAAAATTAAATTAGGTCACTATTTTTCAACAAATCTCTTTCAAGTATGATTTTTAGATACCAGTGGACACTTAAAATACCCTTCTGCAAGTTCATAACAAAATAATGCCCCAAGTAAAAAAGCCTCTAGAAATAAGATGGCTCAAAGAAGGATTCCTAGTAAGAACAAGAAGAGTACACTGAATATGACTTTTGAGAGGACCTGGTGGTGAGTTGGTATCTTTCTTTTTGATTCTGACTGCCCTCATGACAGGACCAAAGCAAGATGTCAAAGCTGCCAGAGACTTTATCCTGAAGCTTTATCAAGATCAGAATCCTGACAAAGAGAAAGTCATCTATTCCCACTTCACATGTGCTACAGACACAGAGAATATCCGCTTTGTGTTTGCTGCTGTGAAAGACACAATTCTACAACTAAACCTGAGGGAATTCAACCTGGTGTAAAAGCTGCTGGGCACCCCTCACCCGGGCCAAAAAACCAGATTTATTTGCAAGTGCTCTGACATCACCCAGCTCAGCCCACTTGGTGGCGCCAAGTCCATCATGCAGCCACGGGGATGGGTGATGGAGCTTGTAAGATGTTTGAATTCAGCAAAATGTTTTCAAAGTCTTGCTTTTACATTTCTTTTCTTAACTTTAAGCTGTAAGATTTTTTGTATAATTTTTGAATTTGGTATTCTACAGAATTCTAAAAAGCCACTGTGATTTATGGGTTTTTTTTTTTTAATTGAAGTGTGTGTGCCATTAGAAAAATCACATAACAGAGGAGCCTGTCAATTTATAGATCCTGCTTTGAGACCTCTAGTATTGGTTAGGTAACCTTTTTTAAAAATTAAATATTGTAACTGTTTTTCTCTCTTCATGCTGAGTATTCAACATGCAACCAAAGATTTTTTTTTTAAGTTTGTTTTTCTTTGTGTTAACTTTCTAAGTCAAATTAATGATTCTATCAGTACCTCTAATTTAGTTTTGCCACAATTTGATTACTATGGAGTCTGGATAGTATTATGCTGTACTGGTGAAAAATGTGTGGTGAAAACTTACACACATATATATATTCCAATGGAGATGACCAGGCCTCATAAACTTATGAAACAGCTAACAGCCCAAATTGTTTAACAAATGTACTGTACCCTCTGCCAGAGTTCTGAAGGCTACCACAGATTTGCTGTTTGAACCATGTATGTCGTGCCTTTCTGAGGAGGCTAAGAATATACCATTTTGCCATTAGCACTGGATTATGTTTCTTTGAGCTCATGGTTGACTGATAGTTCTGCTTCTAAAAAGAAAAATGCTGTGACTTTAATAACTCAGAAACTTCCTAAATGTCCCTATCGGGGAGGTAAAATAATTTTCCTTCCACCCTTCTAGGTTCTTGGCTGAGACCTCACCCCTCTAATAATAAAATAATGTAAGCCTAACACCATGTATCCTCCTGTATACATGGGGGATATTCTGGAAAACTGAGTTTAACTCTACTAAAATGACTCAAGCCATCACCTTAAATACTTTCTTCAGCTGAAGATGCAAGAAAGATGGAGGAGAAGAGAAGGTCACTTATGGGAGGTTAATAGGTAAAGCACAATAAAAAAAAGGGTGAGGTTGTTTAGCTGAATTAAGATGGGCACCTTCTACATTGATAATTTGTCATTTAGAGTCACCCTTCTAGGAACAGAGAAGGAGACACATTTAAAATGGAGGGTTCCTTAAAATAAATGTATATTTCCCTTATAGAAGGGTAACTTCTACTAGATTTTCAGAGCTTTTCCTGTGTCTCTTGTTTCTTAAAAACAATCACCAAAAGCACATGAAAAGATGCTCAACATCACTAATTAGTAGAGAAATGCAAATCAGAACTACCATGAGGTACTTCTTCACACCGGTCACAAGGGCCATCATCAAAAAATCTACAAACAATAAATGCTGGAGAGGATGTGGAGAAAAGGGAACCCTCAAACACTGTTGGTGGGAATGTAAATCAGTGCAGCTACTATGGAGAACAGAACAGAGGTTCCTCAGAAAGCTAAAAACAGAACTTACCATTAGATCTAGCAATCCTACTCCTGAGCATATATCCAAGAAAACCACTACTTGAAGATAATATGCATCCCAATGTTCACAGCAGCACCATCTACCATAGCCAAGACACAGAAGCGACCTAAATGTCCATCAACAGCTGAACGGGTGAAGGAGGTGCGGCACACACATACACTGGAATACCCCTCAGCTACGGAAATGAACAGAGCAGTGCCACTTGCAGCAACATAGATCGACCTAGATTATCATACTGAGTGAGGTCAGAGAAGGACAAATGTATGTCATCACTTATATGTGGAATCTAAAAAAATGGTATAAATGAACTTATTTACAGAACAGAAATAGAGTCACAGATGTCTAGATGTTGGAGCTGAAGCATCTTCCAAGTTTGAATGCCTCTGATGTCATCAGATGTTCAGGTAAACTCCCCGAGTGGCCCACAGAGCACCAGGCACAAAGATGATCTAAACATGAGCCGTCTGGGCAGTTTCCCTGAAGTCTGTATCCACTTAACATCCAGTTTGCAGGACTTCGGGAAATACTTTTGTAAAAGCAAAACAGTAACTCATAAATGACAAAAGACTTAAAAATAGCCATGATTAAAAAAACTGATGAGCCTTTGTTAGTTGGCAAAGAAATATGGTTATTTCTATGACATACATTTTAAGAAAACTAGAATTACAAATGATGATATTATTAATATATAAGGACATGTCAGATTTCTTACCTGGCTTCCCAGGTGGCACTAGTGGTAACGAATCTGCCTGCCAATGCAGGACATATAAGAGACTTAGGTTGATCCTTGGGTTGCAAAGATCCTCTGGAGGAGGAAATGGCATCCCACTCTAGTATCTTGCAGGGGGAATCACATGGACAGACGCTACAGTCCATTGGGTGGCAAAGTCTTGGACATAACTGAGCATCTAAATACATTAGATTTCTAGGAATGTCATAACAATTTGACTTTGATTCCAAGTCAGAAGAGTGGAAGAAAACTGGAAACAGTTTGAAGAGATGTAGCCAGATTATTAGAGGAAAGTAGAATAATTCAGGATCGTGTCTACTTTATAGGTAAAAAAGGAAACAGACAATTAATAGGACTAGAACTTTATACCCATAAGAGTATGTTATTTACTGAAGTATCATTTTTCTGCTTACAATCACTTCCTTTTTGCCAAGGAGACGCTTTCCATTCCAACTAAGAAGGAAATAAAAAGACTACTATGTCCTGGAGCTTTAGGGTTTAGTGCAATTTGTCTTTGGGAAAGTCTGTATAAAGCATTCAATACAGAGGCCTCTGAATGCACTCCTTGAGTGTACAATCCAACTTTGAACAGCTTTTGCTTCTATCAACCCCTAAACACTGACCTCCAGCTGATCCATTTCTTGATCATATGCAGGACAGCTTGGGAGACATTCTGGTCGTTTCCTTGGGGTGCAGTTGGGGGGTCCATCTACTCGGGGGCTGTCTGGCTTGTCTGATAACTGCAGTATAATTACAGATGAGAAGAATACCTTTGAACATCCAATCAAGGTCCTGTGGGTCCTCCTTGGTGGTGTAGCAGTTAAGACTCTGCTCCCAATGTAGAGGGTCTGGATTTGATCCCTGGTCAGGGAACTAGGCCCCACATACCACCACAAAGATCCCACACGCAGCAACTAAGACCTGGCACAGCCAAATAAAATATTCTTTAAAAAAAAAATGTGAGGTTGTGAGGTTGTGAATGGCCATTGATCCTAACTCTCTTCTAAATCTGGTAGGAACTTCTGAAAGTGTAGGCAAAAGGGGCTTTGTGTATCCTGTTAAAGGTCAGTGTTCAGGGGTTGATAGAAGCAAAAGTTGTTCAAAGTTGGATTGTACACTCAAGACGCGAATTCAGAGGCCTCTGTATTGAATGCTTTATACAGACTTTACAAATTGCACTAAACCCTTGACTGGTGGCTCAGTTGGTAAAGAATCTGTCTGCAATGTGAGAAACCTGGGTTTGATCCCTGGGTTGGGAAGATCTCCTGGAAGAGGGCATGGCAACCCACTCCAGTGTTCCTGCCTGGAGAATCCCTATAGACAGAGGTGACTGGCAGGCTACAGTCCATGGGGGTCACAAAAAAACTGGACACAACTGAGCATCTAAGCACAAAGGCTAGACACAATATTCCTTTGTGTCCACTTTTCAACTTGATCTTCCCATAGGTACCAATAAGACCATTCTTTAGAGTAAGAGCTCCCTAAAATTTTTTTCAAATACAAAAGTTTTTCCAATTCAAAAGATCCATCATCTGGCCATTGATGAGTAGGATCTTCAGTAGTATTATATTAATCTCAACAGCAACTCAAATCAATAAACCTTTTTATGGCTTAACTGTGGGTGCAAGAGGTGTGCCCTAAGGGGATACAAAAGATCATAAGATCTAGAAAGTTCACCCCCAGAGTTAGCCCTAAGAAATTAAAGACCCTCTTTGTCACAAATCTGCTGATCTGTAATACCAGGCAGACACTAGTGGAATGGGACTTTTCTACCACTAACAAGACAACAAAGGTTGACATGCAAACAAAGGTTGGCCCCTTGTGGACTGGGGCCCCTTCAGACAAATTCTCCTGAGAGCTGGCACAGTGGGAACACTACCTGTCACTGTGTGTTTCAAATCTCCATCCTACTGTGTGGCTGCCAGGTACACGTCGATGCTAGCATCTTCCAGCTGGTGATGACTAGAGGTAGTTTTCCTACCAGTTGAAAAGCCAAGCTCTCGAGACAAAGAACAAGATGAAAGGAAAACCTTATCTTGACTACGGTTCCCCTCCTTATGAAAAATGACACAAAGGACAGACAATGTAAGTCAGTGACCATCTCTGGAAGGGAAAGGGATCAACAGAAGAGAAGAGAACTTATAACAAAATCTCTACCAGAGTCTTCATACTCAAGGAACTAATTCACATGAACATTTTCTTCTATAAATCTAAATTTGGAAAGGAAAGAATAAGGTGCAAGTTCCTCTTCCTCTCTCAACTGAGCCTTATGGACAGAGATCTGAGAGAGATTACGTCTGTAAGAATTCTTACCCTTTGCTGGCTTCGGCCAGTTTTCCAGGTTCCCATCTTCAGGCTCCGAAGGAAGTACAGTGTTTCGGTAGGTCCCATCATGGGTCACCCAACTGTCAGGTGGGGAAGAAAGATTACCCCCCCACCATTCTAGGTTCTTAGTTGAGACCCCACCCCTATAATAAAAGACAGATTAACAGGAGAAAAACAAATAGAAAACAAATAACATATATACCTCCTATTTACACGTGAGACACCCTGGAAAACGGAGTAACTCCATCAATGGCCCAAGCCATCACCTTAAATACCTTTTTCAGCTAAAGACACCAGAAGAATGTTGGGAGAAGGCTAGTTGTGAGAAGTTACCAGGAAAAACCTAGTAAATGGGGTAACATTGTTATGCAGATTTGAGCTGGGTATCTTCTCCATTGATAAGCGTTTCCTGTGATTTAGAGTCATCTTTCTCTTTCTGGTACGGATTAGGAGACACACCCTTATGAATAAAAGTTTAGTCATAAATGTAAAAGTCTCCTGCAAATGAGTAATTTCTACTAGATTTTTAGAGCTTTTCTTGAAAATAGCCTGGTCAAAATAATCCCTTTGCTAAAGAGGCATATTTGGTGATGGGATGTTCTGCTCCCCTTCATCCTCCTTTTTGAGGCATTAAGCTTTAAAAGCTAACCTTCATTCAAGAAATGAAGGCAAAACCAACAGTTTTTGTGGAGCCTGACAATGATATCAAAATTTACTCTGGAACAGTAACATTCTGAGAATAGCCAAGCCCATTTTGCGTAAGAGAACAAAGAATGGGAGACACGGGAGCAGGGGCCGATTGCTGCCCATGCTGTCCTGCGAGTGTGCAGGCTGCCACCATCACTAAGCAACCCAGAGCAGGCGCCAGTCACGGCCCTGCTGTCCCAGGGGTGCACGGGCCACTGGGGGACTCTGAGCAGGGGCCGACGGCTGCCCCCACCCTAGCGGGAGCGTGCCTAGGCCACTGCACCCGCACACCCCCATCACCAAACCCCACATCCACTGGGAAGGTGACCCACAACTGGAAAATAATTACACAGCAGAGCTTCGCCCACAGGAGTGAGAGCTCTGAGCCCCACATCAACTTCTCCAGTCTGAGGGTCCGACATCAGGAGCAGGAGCCCCCAGAGCACCGAGTTCTGTTTTGCGGGCCAGGAGGACCTCCTCCTGTGCAGGAACTCCACAGGACTGGGGGCGACAGAGACTCCACTCTTAGAGGGACAAGACGAAATTTCACATGCACTGGGACCCAGCATCAAGCAGTGGCTCCACAGAAGCCTGGGCTACATCTACCTGTGGGTGCTGGAGGCTCTCCTGGGGTTGTGGGGGTCAACTGTGGCTCACTATGGGGGCAAGGACACTGGGAGTGAAGGCCCAGAGAATCCTGATCAACGTGAGCTCTCCCAGGGGTAGTCATTTTGGCACCAAGACCTTGCCCCACCCAACAGCCTGTAGGGTCCAGTGCTGGGATGCCTCAAGCCAAACCACCAGCAATGGGGGAGAACACAGCTCCAATCATCAGCAGACAGGCTGTTAAAGTTGTACTGAGCTCACAGCCACCTCTAAACACACCCCTTGACATGGTTCTGCCCACTAAACAGATAAGACCTAGCTCTACCCACCAAGGGGTAGGCACTAGCCCCTGGACCAACCTCACCCACCAAGGGGCAGAAGACACCTGAAGCAAGAGGAACTATGATCCTGCTGCCTGAGTAAAGGAAACCACAAACACAGAAAGTTACACAAAATAAAATAGCAGAGAAGTATGTTCTAGATGAAGGAACAAGATAAAAAACCGGAAGAACAATCAAGTGGAGATAGGCAATCTAAATGAATAACAACTCAGAGTAATGATAGTACAGGTGACACAAGATCACAGAAAGACAGTGGAGGCAAAAGAAATGCTTAACAAAGAGCTGGGAGACTTGCAGAACAAATAAACAGATGAACAATACAATAACAAATACGAAAACATGCTAGCAGGAATCAATAGCAGAATAACTTAAGCAGAAGAAAAGAATAAGTCAGTTGGCACATAAAATGGTGGGAATAGCTGAGGAGCAGAATAAAGAAAAAAGAATGAGAAGAAATGAGGACAGGTTCAGAGATCTCTGGGACAAAATTAAACACATCAACATTAGAATTATAGGGGTTCCAGAAGAAGAAAAGAAAAAGTGTCTATGACATAAATCACAGCAAGATATTTTTTGATCCACTTCCTAGAGTAATGAAAATAAAAACAAAAATAAACAAATGGGACCTAATTAAACTGAAAAGCTTTTTGCACAGCAAAGGAAACCATAAACAAAATGAAAAGACAATCCACAGAATGACAGAAAATATTTGTAAATGAAGTGACTGACAAGGGATTAATCTCCAAAATATACAAACAGCTCATGCAGTTCAACAACAAAAAAATGAACAACCCCATCATATGATGGGCAGAAGATCTAAGTAGATATTTCTCAAAGGAAGACATACATATGGCCAGAAAGCACATGAAAAGATGCTCAACATCACTAGAGAAATTACTAGAGAAATGCAAATCAAAGCTACAATGAGGCACTACCTCATACCAGTCAGCATGGCCATCATCAAAAATGTATAAATGATAAATGCTGGAGAGGGTGTGGAGAAAAGGGAAGTCTCCTACACTTTGGGCAGGAATGTAAATTGGTACAATCATTATGGAGAATGTTATGGAAGTTCCTTAAAAAACTAAAAATAGGACTACCATATGACCCAGCAATCATACTCCTAGGCACATACCCAGAGAAAACCATACTTTGAAAAGATACATTCATCCCAATGTTCACTGCAGCACTATTTACAGTAGCCAGGACATAGAAGCAAACTAAATGTCCATCAAAAAATGAATGGATAAAGATGCAGTACATATAAACAATGGAACTACCATAGGATCCACCAATGCAATTCCTGGGCATATGAAAACCATAACTGAAAAGATACATGCACCCCAATGTTCATAGCAGCATAGTTTAAAATAGCCAAGACATCTAAGCAACCTAAATGCCCATCACAAGGGAATGGATAAAGAAGACGTGGTACTTATAGACAATGGAATATTACTAAGCCAAAAAAAGAATGAAACAATGCAACTTGCAGGAACTCAGTTAAGTTCAGTCGTGTCCGACTCTTTGCAGGAACATAGGTGGACCTAAAAATTATAATACTAAGCAAAGTCAGACAGAGAAAGACAAATATCCTATGGTATCACTTATGTGGAATATAAAAAAAAAAGACACAGATGAACTTCTTTACAAAACAGAAATAGACTCCCAGTCTTCGAAAACAAACGTCTGGCTACCAAAGTGTAAATGTGGAGGGTAGGGATAAATTAGGAGTTTAGGAATAACATACACACACACTACTATAAATAAAACAGATAGTCAACAAAGACCAACCATATAGCACAGGGAAGGCTACTCGATATTCTATAATAACCTATACTGGAAAAGAATCTAAAATAGAATGGACATATGTATAACTGAAATCTTTAGCTGTATACCTGAGACTAACATAGCATTGTAAATCAACTATACTCCAATATAAAATAAAAATTAAAAAACATTGCATTACTACGTTGCATACATGAAACTCATCAAGTATATTTTAATACAAAATAAAAATTAATCAATAAACAATAAAATACCTAAAGAAAAAGCATACCCCCAAAGGATGGAGAAGTCGCTCTCAAGGATATCTAGAAATGAAACAAAGAGAAAGCAAAACAACCTGAGGTGGGAGTTGGGCACCGTACTCTAAAAGTCAGGAACCGCTTCTTACCATCCAATTAACATGTGAAAAGGGCTCAAGAGAATCAGTTATGGGGCAATTAAACAATGAGGAATTTTGTTTTTAAGCACTTTCTAGCACTTGGTTATTATTTTTATCTTTGGCTGACAAAGCACATAAGAAAATGGCTTTGAGTCACTTTAAGTATCAGTAACAAGTCATAAAAAGGCTAAACACTTCATATTAGAAGCAAATGATTTATTTGTCAATATTAATTCTGCAAGTAGGAAATTCTCTCTCTTAGACCTCCTTTCAAAATATAATCATTACTTACCTTGGAAATAGCCGTTTGAAGTTTTCTGAGGCTGGGAGGCACAGTCTCCGTGCTTACGAATCAGGTAGGTATTACCACTCAAGCTCTTCGTCAGCAGTGATCATGCTGGGCTGGAAAGCTGTCAGTTTTGACTGCAAAACCAGGACCTTGGGCAATCTGTTAGTTACCCAGATTTATTTAGGACCCAAAGAGGGCAGAGCTGAGATAGGTGAGACGGGACTTAATGGTAACGTTTCTAGTTCTATTCAGAAACTAAAAAACAGAGGCAGACTGAAGATCAGAAACCTTTATTTTACTCAGTTTATTTGAAGAGATACACAGAGTTAAACCGGGCAGTCACGTGACCAAGCAATTCAATTCTACCAATAGCAAGAAATCATTATTTAGAAAAAAGTCATTGGTGAGCATGGCAAACCAATTTTCAGGAGGAAAAAGACTAAGTTCAATTTCAAGAACTTCACTGTAATTTTTGTGTTTATAAATTAATTATCTCATCAGAACACACAAAATCAAGGCAGCGACTGTATAACAGGCAACTGGGTCAGACGTAAGTACAAAGAAATATTGCACTGAATCAGAAATAGACATTTAAAATACTATCATCACCAAGAATCATATTTTCACTAAAGAATAAGCATTCCAAAGAAGCAAAGACTATTTGGTCAATACAAAAATTAGTAAGGAAATATTTTTAAAGTGCACATTCCCTGAAAAATTCAATTTTATATGTAAAATGCACATTCACATACAGAGGACCATTTTAAAAAGTCTTAACAATCTGACCTTGCAACAAGTCGCAGATACAATTTCTAACAGTCTGTGAGTGCAGGTATAAAACTGACAATGAGAACATTTCAATGTAGTCTACATTTTTACTTGAATATTCTTCAGTTTCCAAGTTGGAAACTTTCGGGTAGCCAATGGAATGCTAGTGGTATGACTGCATAAGAAGAGATGTTGGATTTTTCCAACATGATATCTTTTAAGTACACTTTTGACAACTGGACTTTTTATTATAGCACTCTCACAGGGTTTCCTGTTATAAGGACTTCAAGAGAAGGAACCTGTTTTTAAAGGTATCAAAGCAACAGTAAATGAATGTGAATGGTGCTCAGTGACAGAGATTTTCAGGTTGACAGACATCACAGCAGGTGCTAAACTATAATACAAATGGCTTTGTGTAAAGTGATAAAAACTTTAAAAATATATGAGTATCAACCTATAAAATCTGAAGTTTCATATCTTACATGGCTTACTGGGTAACCAAAATTATCAATTTTTTGGAAAATGCCATAATGCTTTTAAAAAAGAACTAATCTGTTATCCTAAAGTGAAACATTTTTTAAAAAAATGACATGGAACAATTTATTTTACACAACAGGAAATAACGGTTTCAATTAAAAAAACATGAAGGTTTGCAGAAGAGTAGGATCCAGTGTCTTCTTAGTCCTTGTGCTGGCCTTTTAGGATAGCCCTGGAAGAAATATTACTTTACACCAACTGGGGTAGAGAGAAACAGCAGGAGAAAAGGTCTGCGCTGACAGCTGTTTGGGGCAATGATCAAAGGTACAGAATATAAGAATCCTAAAAATTTTAACCAATCAGTGCTAGCTTGATTAGGTATAGCATTATCAGTAAGGTATAATTTCAAAAGCACATTTCAAAGGATTGGGCCGGAGGGCAGATGGTTCTCATTTACAGTATGCAGAAGAGCGATCAGTGATACTGGGTAGCACCAAAGAAAATCAGATTCAACAAATTTTGCATTGAATCTTGCAAAAAGAATCAAGTTATCTGTATTTTCTACTTGAATCCTACATAAATTAGGAAATTCAATTATCTTCGGCTAAAAAGTATTGGCATTTGTCTGGCACTCTGCAGAGAATAAGTATTTTGGCCCTAGAAGACTGTGACCTATGAATCAGCTCCCCACTCGCCTTTGTCCGTTTGGGGACTCAGATGGCAGGTAGATGGGGCAAAGTCAATGACCTTTAAAAGAGAACTTCTGTGCCCAATACCAGCAAAATGCTTAGTGGGAGAGAGGGGAAATACACTGAATTAAAGGATAGTCTGTGATCTTTTTTGGGAGCTGTTTGTGGATCTAACTTTTCTATGCTTTTTCTAGGCCACTGATACTTGGTGGGACATATTACACAGGTATCAGATATATACCAGAAAAGGAAAACATTTCCAAAGACAGACCTATCCTATCTTCTCACTCAAAAGAAAAAGACAGTGCTCACAGCCTAAAGACTCCCTGAGTTGTGGGTCTGTTGCGCC